GCTTTTCAATGTCCTTCCAAAATTACGGTGACCAGAACTGGACACAGGAGAGTTCTGGCCAAAGCCTCTTGCTCCTTGGTCAGAGTTCCCCTGAGTTTGCAATGACTTACGCCATGCTTTGAAGCCGGGGGCAACTCTTCAAGCCGTCGGTCAGACAGTGTGCTCCTGTTGCCGTTATCTTGTTGCAGTGGATGCTGAAAGGAAACCACAGGAGTTAGCAAGCGGAGGCCTTTGAGTCACACACTCTCAGCCTCAGGGGAAGGGATGGCAAACCTCCTCTGAACCAATCTTGCCCAGAAATATCAAATATCACACTTTGCACATTGCATTGCAGGAGTTAAAACACACTACCCAGCCTCACTGCAGTGGTTACCATAGCTTGGAAAGGTTACTTTGGGGATTACAACTCCCAGAATCCCCCAGCCAGCAGTGGCTTCTGGGTGCTGTAGTTCAAAAATACTACTTGGATCAGTCTGAATGTGGCCAGTTTGGTCTGATTTTGGAAGCAAAGCAGGGTTGTCCTGGGTTGTTAGCAAGGGGGGGGGATTCTTCTTGAAACCCTGCCTGATGGGATTGGCAATCCAGAGCTAGTTGGACCCCTTGCAAGGGTCTGGCCTGGTATTAAGGCAGTTCTTGTTCTCCTCTAGAGAAGGTCCTGGGTTCAATAGTCTGCAATGAACTAGGAAAGGGAACCTGGCAAAATGGATCCCCAAATTGTGACTCAACGGAAGCCAAGTTGCAAATAGTTTCTGTTACTGAGAAACTATACTCACTATAAATGAGAGTATAAATGAGAATTTATACTCACTCCAACACTCTCAAGGAGGGCATTTTGGGGAGCATTTTTGCAAAGTTTTCCGCTCCATTGTCCCCGATGCTGTTATTGTACAAGCTGCAAAAACAAAAGGAAAGAATATGAAAAAGCAAAGAGAACTTTCAGCTTCGAGAATCAGATTGCACCAAGATATATATAGATGCTGTGTAACATTAAAACAAAACAAATAAGCCCAGTGGCCAGAATAAAAACAGACCAAAGCAAGGAAAAACATAACATTCTCTCTTTAAAAGAAATAGACAAAAGGGTGTAAAGGCATGGAAAATTCCCCTTAAAAAGAGATTAAACTATGAAAGATTGCAATGTTCCCTCTGAAGTCCCCAAGGGAATGAGAAGGGATTGGAAAGCGTTTGGTATTGGCGCAATTTTTGGGGGAAAGCATCCCAGAGACATGGTGTCACCACTGAAAAGACCCTTTCGGAAAAGCCTTTGCCCGTCTTCCTCTCTGAAGTGCAACATGGGATTGCTAGTACTCACCTGAGCGTCTTCAGGGAAGGCAACGATGGAAGAGCGTTGGAGAGCCTTTCTGCCCCTAGGTCTGTGATCTTGTTCCGGGATAAGCTGGAACCAAAGGTTGGGATTGTGAGATGGGACTCCAGTTCCCATCATCCCCCAACCAGTAAAACCAGTCTGGGGGATGCTGGGATCTGCAGTCCAACCACATCAGAAGTTTTTGCATTGTTGCCTTCCTCCCCCAGCTTAGGACATTGGTGGGCGATGCTCTGTAAGATATCAGGATCCAATATAAGCCAGTAAACTGGAAGTGGATGGGAGTCCATGGGCCTTCTGATGTCCTTGGATTGCAGTTCCCATTATCCCTAGCCAAGATGTCCCATCGGCAGCTGGGGTTTCACATATCCATAAAGGATCCATCCAAGACGCTGTTGTGGGCAGATGGCATAGTAAAATCCAGCTTAAAATTCAAAGAGGATTCACCATTCCCACCAAGATGGGTGCCACCAACCCCTACTGGCATAGCCAATGTGGAAGGACGATGGGAGTTGTAGTCCCACACCATCAATAGAAAGCAACTTTCCCAAGCTGTGGTGGCTCAGGGCACCATGCATGCTTGCATCCTGACTGGCCAAGATAAACAAGGAATGAAATTTAGTAGAAGTAAATCCAACTCCTTTTCTCTTTTATGGGAAAACCTGCCTTTTGCTGGGGCAGATGCCTTTCTTGTTTTTGCTCTAGGAAACTGCAATTGCATTTCTTTGCTCTAGGAAATTGCATCCTGAAACTGGATTACTTTACTTTAACTTTACTACTTACTTTAACGTTTCCAAGGAGTGCAACCGAGGAAGGACTTTGCAGAAACTCAACACTCCTTCGTCTCCGATCTCGTTTTCCTTTGGAGAATCCAAGCTGGAAAATAGCAAATAATATCATCTTGGTTTGGGTCGGGGGAGCAACGAAAGGCTTTTTTCCAGCCCCATCACTGCAAAAAAGTCCCCTTTTTGGACTACAGCTCCCAGAATCGCCCTGGTTTGGAGGACTTTGGGAATAATAGTCCAATGAAGCCATTCCTCCTAGTTCTGATGTCACTCTCTGTACTTTTCAGATTCTCACCAGAGTTTGGCAAATTGACCTTTCATGGACTATGACCTCTGCAATCCCCAGGGGGTCATTCTAGGCAAGCTGGGGATTCTGGGAATCATAGTCCAAAAGGGTAACCTCCTAAGCTCTGCTTATCGCCCCTCTTCGCCACTCACTCCAAATGCTGAAGACATGGAAAGGCATCCAGAATCTGGACCAGCTTTAGGAATCCCTTCAGACCATTGACAGGGCCCATCCTGCAAAAGGAAAAGAAGAATGATCATAGACAAATATAACAGAAGAATTAATAGAAAAAGGATCTGTTAGTATCTCCTGCTGGGACACAGGTTTCCAAGCCCAGCAAGGCTGGGGTCCTAAATAAATCCTCAAAATTTGCATTATTTCTGCCTTCTCTTCTGCCTCAATTGCCTTAAAGATTCCCTCCGCTTGAAACCATCCCAAGAAGAAATGTTTTAAAACTCATCTCTTACTTACGTGAATTCTAGTTGCTTGAGGTCTGCAATAGCCGGAATGCGGTGGATTTTGCAACCGTTGGAATCTGCCTGGCTAAATAGAAAATAATTGGGGAGATGGGAGAAGGCAATTGGGACGCGGGATGCTTTCCGAAATGGAGATGGAGGTGCCAAGGGATTATGCTGTTGTCTTGGATGAAATGTTCATCCATCAAATTGTGGCATTGGCAAATCCACATAGGGACAAATGGGACAGAGAGTGCATTTTTGATGAGGTTGTGTGCCATACATTTCTTTTTGCATCTATTTCCATGAGAAAAACAGTTGTGTGCAAGCTGGAGCTTGGAACAAGTTCCTTTTTTGGGATCTTTCTCCCAGGGTCTTATTTTGCAGCCTTTGGGAAATGCCCAGAGCCTCTATTACAATTTTTCCAGTTGATTTTTGTGTGTCATAAATGCTCCCCAAATGCCTCTGTTGCCCTGCCAAAGCCACAAGGAGAAAAAGATTAAAGCTAACCATTTTTCTGGCTAGCTCTTGGAACCACAAATGAAATTTGCATTGTGACACAATCTCACATACACAAATCAGCCGTAAAGAGATCTTGTAGCACCTAACCGAAAGAAAGAATTTGGCAGCATGAGCTTTCCTAGACATCACTCTACTTCTGCAGATGCATTTGGGATTTTGCAAATTTGGAATTTGAAAATGCATCTGAGGAAGGAGACTTAAGTCTACGAAAACTCATGCTGCCAACTTATTTCTTTCGCTTAGTCTCAAAGGTGCTACTAGATCTCTTTACAGGCTGGTTTTACAGACTAA